CTCATAAGAAATTCCTCCAAGACCAGGAATCATTCTTGTAGCCCTATGTTGCACCCTTTCCAAGGCAACAATGTCCTTTTTAAGGTATGGTGACAAAACCTGAACCAAATATTCTAGGTGGGGTCTTACCAAAGAATTGTATAATCGTAGAATCACCTCCCTTGACTTAAACTCCACACACCTGGAGATATACCCCAACATCCTATTGGCCTTTTTTATTGCTTCCCCGCACTGGCGAGAATGAGACATGGAAGCATCAACATACACACCATGGTCTTTCTCATAATCAGCTACCTTTATTTCATTGGAACCCATAAAATATCTGTACTTTATATTTCTGTTCCCTGCATGGATTACCTTACATTTATCTGTGTTAAATTTCATCTGCCAGGTATCAGCCCAGTCGCTAATTAAATCAAGATCCCGTTGTAGCCTATGTGCTACTATCTGCTACACCACCCACCTTGGTGTCGTCTGTAAATTTAACCAGTTTACTGTATGTATTGTTGTCAATATCATTAATGTAAATTAGGAACAATAGTGGTCCTAAAATTGAACCATGCGGTACCCCACTAGAACGCAGGTCCACTTTGACTCATTGTCGTCCTGCTCCCAGTGTTTTAGTTCTTTGTGGTTCCTTTAGTTTGTTTATTGTTTTTCTGGCGTGTCTTGAACCCCTCGTGGTCCCTTTATTTTTGTGTGTTTTTTTCCCTTGGTGTATTCTGTTCAGTTTCTTTAATAAACCCTTTTGTGTCTTGAAGCTGTCAGTGGATTGTCACCTTAATTTCTCTGCCTGCACATTGCTTTGCATCCATAACAGCTATGCAACACGGGGAGAACATGCAGACTCTGGCATGCAGAGGAGGGATTTGAACCCTTATTCCTGGAAGAGTGAGCCACCATGCCACCTGTAATAATTATGCTTTAAATTGAATTACATACTAAAATCCTAAGATTGGGGTGCCCAACTCCAGTCCTGGAGGGCCGGAGCCCTGTGTAACTTAGTTCTTTCCTTGTTCCACCATAAATGATTCAGCTCAAGAGCTGTGTGGTAATTAGCACAAGAAGTTGAATCAGGTGTGTTAAATGAGGGGAAACCCAAAAATGTGCAGGGCTCCGGCCCTCCAGGACTGGACTTCGGCACCCCTATCCTAAGACATACTGCATTCTTTGAATCAGTGGTTGCCAGCCAGTTGATTGTAATTAACAGATCGATTGTCATGACATTTCTAGTTGATTGCATCAGAGCACAATTCACATCCCCACTACAATTCTCTAAATTTATTTATTTACCTTTATTTTACCAGGAAGTCCCATTGAGATATAAAATCCCCTTTACAAGAGAGACCTGGCCAAGGTAGCAGCCGTACAAAACGTAAACATATACATGACAATAAAACATTAAACAATAAAACAGAAAAACAATTGTTTTTGCACAGCGGCTTCTCAGGCAAAACATTGACATTCCTCAGTCACTGTACTATTTATGATGATCTTAAAATCCTTTAAAGATATTAGTGTTTGCAATTTAAGAACTTTTTGAAGGTTGTTCCATGACCATGGTGCGTACTAAGAAAATGCTGTTTTGCCAAGGTCTGTCAGGACCTGGGGGACATACAAAGGCAACCACTTGGAGGCACGCAAGTGGTAGCTATTGGAGCTGATGCAGAGTAGTAAATAGACCAGCTTAAAAGCTAATTTAAAAAACATTTGCTGGTTGATGATTTTATAATGTTATACAACTGTCAATTATTTAGGTCTTGTCGAATAATGAGCCTAAAATGACCAGCGTGAATTCATTAAGGAAAGCAGCCAGATGAAAAACAATATAAAGCACTCACCGCTAGACATGAAGGTGTCTCATTTACGATAAATACCTTTTATTTGTGAGTCCTAATGATGACCATTTACTGAAATGCCAGTGTTATATTTTCACATTATCCTGACAAATGTGGAGCCTGAGCACCAAATATTGTTATACTCTTTGTGAGGGGATGTTTTTTTCGATAAATCAACAAATGGCAAGAGCTATCCTTGTCTGGGAATCTTCCACAAAACGGTGTCATTATCTGTGAAAAACATTCCAAAACAGCGACCTGGTATAAGGTCTGGAGTAAAGATAACTGTATGAAACATGTTAAACATAAGCATACAGTAGGTTGGGCTACTCTGGCCATGTTGAGTTGGGTTTCTTTCATATTACGTCTAATAGGCTAGATTAGGCTAACTAGCATTTCAAATAACGTCATTAATAAAAAATTATAATAAACAGCTTATGAAGGGGACGGTATCAGTATTAGTGTCTATAGAAACTTTTCAAATTTCCAAATTTGGATATCAAAACAAGTGCATATGATGTTAGCTTGTAATGGTTTGTTAATATCAAGCATTTGTTTAATTTTTATGTTTACATATACTTACAAATACCCTTAATTGCATGCTTAATACCTATAATATTTTACTGCTATGTAATGTTATGACATAGACCTAAATTCATTTGGTAAGCCACACTGTAGGGAGGGTTAGTGGAGTATGTCTTTGCTCTGCGCTCTGGCAAGGTCACCCAGAGTGAACTGATTAAGTGTAAAAATACTCTTAATTTTGGCACATACATGATATATGGTGTATTTTTCAAAATTTGTGTTTCTCAGATTTTCAGTAGCAATAAAATCTGTTTCCTGCAAATACAAACAAGCCTCCTCTATGTAATGTGTGATAGACCAGACCCAACCCTCCAACTCCCCACCATGGGACATCACTATTTTTCAAATCCTGGCTACATCCCTCCCCTAGGGCGACATAAGAGATGGCATGTGTATCTGTGTACACTGATTAATAATTCATTGAAAATGATAATATCTTTACTCACATTGAGGGCAATTTACAGTTCACTTGATCTAAATCTTTGTAAAACAAAGTCTTTCACATTCTGCCATTTATGATACAAACAATTGGTGTAACTGTAAACTCTAGTTCATATCTCTGTTTTCCAATTTTAATTTCCAGGTTTTAAGTTGACATCTTACATCAGTAGTAACAGTTCTTTATTGGTAGATATATGCCTTGTCCACACGTACATGGGTATTTTTTAAAACGTGCTTTTTTCTATACATCTTGGGTTTTTGTCCACAATAGGTCACTGAAAACTGAGCTTTTGCAAAACTCCATCCAGGGTGAAGATTTTAAGAAACTCCATCTTCAGCGTTGACATGTAGACAGGGAAAACAGTTTTTGGCTCAAAACGTCAGATTGTGCGCCATTGTCCACTTTGTTTAACGTCAGAGCGTGCGCTGTTTGCTGTATACATTAGTGGTGTGCGATGCTACAAGATTTGGTATCGATCCGATACCAAGTAAATATACGGCAAGTATCGCCGTTACGATACCGATATCGATACTTTTTAATAATTAAGGTGGATGCATCATTAAATTGCTAAAGCTGAATTAATTTTCATTACCATGAAATGTTTTTGTTTTGTTTTTTATTTATTGGTTAAAACGCTGGGCAGAATTTGGGGAAAGTTTATGAGTAAATAAATACTGTAGCGCGGAGGTACCGGCGGGCAGTGCCACATGTTGGACTGATGTCAGCTTGTGAATAGTTCTCAGTAATCGCTTGTGTGATTATACATGTGCTGTGTATAGCGGTTAATGTTTATTGCTGTACGTAGTGTATGTGCATGAATGCGTGCGCCCACCGTGTGTATGAGGAGTAAACGGGGCAATGAGCATGGTGGGCAGTGCGAGTGTGTGTGATTGTAGTGGTATGGGTGTAATAAATGGGCATATGGTGATTAAACCCCTAACTGTCTTTGCTGTTTAATTATTGCGAGCATGGCTCAGCAACCCACTATTACAATACTTTATTATAAATATTATATTGTGTGTGTGCGCGCGCGTGCAGGTGAGGTTGTCTGCTTGCCTGGCGCCGCTGAGTCACGTGACAATCGGGAGCGGCAACAGAGAGCAGCAGCACGAACACAGACAGCCTCAGTGCATCCAGGAGAAAAACTGAAACTGAAGTATCGATCTCATTTGAAGTGACAAAATGCAAAAGTCCGGTTTTTCCTTTAACCCCCCCTTTTGTGGTTTTGCCACCTGGGAAGTGCGGGTACCATTTTGTCTGACTCGCAGCCTTTAGCTTAGCCCTTCACAAAAGGATCCACAAGTTGCTGTTTACTGCCTCTTAATTTATTGCAAAAAAAAACATATTACAAAATGAAATGCGAATCGTCTTGCTGCCTTATCATCTCCGATGATTCCCCAGGGCAGCGAACAGACCGTGCCTAAAGCCCAAGGCTGAGGTCAATGACGGTATCTGCTGGCCCGCTTCTCCCCCGCCATGTGCCACGTCACCTCCTTTTCCGGGCAGCACCCTCACCATCTGTAGGGGGTGCACTTGTGCCAAACACAAACTGATTACAGTAAACATTCATCAAGCAATTTACCTATGGCTCCTACATCATTAAACCGGTATTGATCAACATCAATACCAACATTATTATCTATATTATCGATACTTGGATCGATCCGCCCACCTCTAGTATACATTAGGCGAGTTTGAGCAATGCCGGGCTTAGCCGAAATAGTGCTTGTGTTAACCTTGCTGACAGGACTTCTTAGATGTGTATAGATAAATGTTGAGTCACTCTCGCATTATATTGATCAACACAGGCGTCGGAATGTGTGCCCTGGTTTTCAACTTAACAGGATTGGCAATTAGGCTTCTGATTGGCTAACATGGCAGTATATGGTTAGAGTTATAATGCTGCCTGTTGTTTTTGCATGCTCTTGACAGCGCATTTTAGCGGTTTCATGTGGACGGAAATATTTAAGAAGACAATGTTCGTGTGGATGGGGATTTTTTTTTAAACGGAGGAGGAAAAACACCGTTTTAAAAGATACCCGTGTACGTGTGGACAAGGCAATAGTCTGTCATGACCTGCCCGTACGATCCTCGTGTGTGCCACGCCCCCTCATTACCTACGCGTGCTACCCCGATTGTGATCACCTGTTGCCTGTTGTTTTCTGCTTGTCTTGTGTATTTAGTCCGCGTTCAAGTCTGTTTCCTCAGGTCTGTAATTGACGTTCGTATGTGGTGTGCTCCCTTGTCTACTTGTGAAGCCAAAATAAACCCCGCTTCACCTCCTATTACCATCTCGATCACCTGCTTGCCCGCTCGACTGCACGCGACGTGACATCAAAAGACTAATCTTATTTTTTTTATTATAAAATACACCCACTATTTGTAAGCCTTGCAAAATTGTTTTTAATCTGTTTCAGTCGTCCACGTAGCTTTAATCTCCTTCTAAAAAAAACAATACTATAATCTAAAGCCTTTATATCCAGCACAATACACATTGCATGTTTATACATATGTATTCTTTGAGTATTTTTAGGTTTTTGAGCGATGCTGAAAGGCCAGCAGCGATGAGGTGCCATTTCGGTGTATAGCCATACATCCTCTTCTGTTTGTTTACCACATCTGTGACAAGGAAGTGACCCAGCATAAATGAAACATGTCTTCTTTCATTGTACATATCAGCAAAGAGATGAACAAGAGAGTCTTTCTTTAGTTGCAAATTAGTTTCATATAAATGTATATTTCACACTTATTTGATAAAAAAAATTCTCCACAGAGACAGGCAGTGCAGACATAAGTGGAAAAAACCCCAAAAATCATTTAAAAAATCTGTATCATCAGTAAATATACTGAGTTAATGAAAAGCAAAGCCCAGAGTTTCGGGTAACATTGTGCAGCAGATAATACTGTTGCCTCACAGGTTTGTGGGTTTGAATCTCACTCTTCTCTCTCTCTGTGGAGTACGTATCCTGTGCTCGGCTGGTTTCCCGCAGGTACTCTGCTTACCTCAGTCAAGCAGTTAGATGACCTGGCATCTATAAATTGTCCGTTTTGTTTGTGTGTGTCCATCCTGACATCCCATCAAGTGCATTCCTCTGCCTCGTGCCCTATTCTGCCTGCCCCATGTCCTATCAATGGATAAGAGGTGGCAGGATATTTAAATAAGTCTAGACACCGCCTATGAATTATCTAAAAAGCATCAGGATAGTAAGCCACTGATTCTAATCATACTATTCTGAACTGATTCTATTCTAAAGTGTCTCTCAGGTTTGCCAAAGTCTTGAAGCAGTATCACATTACACATCAAGGTTTTTCTTTCTTTCCCAGAAACCATCTAAAGCGAAATAGTAAACCAGTGGGTCCAGGCAACAGTTGAAGGTTGAGAGACACAATGTTACCTCTAGAAGCTCCAGGTTAAGCTGGTTGAGATTCCATAGCAACATGACGATGAAAGGCAAAAAGAGGGCAAATATCAGCACATTGACAAGGAAAATCAACATCACCCTTTTCACACTGTACCCAGCCAGGTCCATCTGACGATTGTTTAGGCTCCACACAACTCTGGCTGTGGAAATCACGTTGACAATGAACAAGAGGGGCAGGCAAACCGATAGGGTTAACGCAAAGAAGGGTGGTGACAACTCATTCTCAATGGTAGTGTTAAAATCACCCAACTTATTCCAGGTAATCGTAGGAATGCAGGTATAGAATGATTTCAACCTGAATACATGAGAAATGCTGTATGTCATTGCCAGCAACCACACTGCACCGCAAGCGATCCCTGATGTCCTGGGAGAGCGCACCACCCGAGAGCGCAGTGGGTAGACCAGAGCCAGCATGCGGTCCACGCTGATGAAGGTGATGAAGAAGGAGCTGGACAGGATGTTGGCTCGGAAGAAATAGGTCATCAGCTGGCAGGGGATCTTCATCAAGGTCTCACTGGGTTTGATGTGCAAGACGATCCGTAGGGGCAGAGAGAGGATCAGGAGAAGGTCTGAGACGGCCAGGTTGGCCATGATGATGGTGTTGGCCGCCCGGAGCCCATGTCTGCAGACGAGGATCCACAGTGACAGTGCGTTCAGTGGCAGTCCCAGCAAAACCACGAAGGAGTAAGCGACAGCCAACGGTGTACTGTTCTGGTAAGTCACGTTGTGTGTCCCATTCATCCTCGCTGGAGTGCTGAACGAGCAAGTGATATTTTCTCCTTTTCAGTTTCCTACCATTACCCACGCTTTCACGGCTAAAGAAACGCCTATGGTTAAGCAATAAAGTCAGCTTCCTGTTTCCTTTGTGTCTGTGGCTATTTTACACAGCAGCATCTTAGCTGTGGGTGAAGACTAACAGGAAAAAGTGCTCAGTTTATGCAAACCACTGCATCACTGTGTCAAGAACTACAAATGTTAGGCCTATCTTGTAAGCGCCAAGTAGAATTTTTTTAAACTAACTGGTTAATTGATTGCCAGGCAGCTGAATAAATTTAACTACACATATATTTTGTGTATCATGTGTAATATACAGTATTTGACCACACTCGTAATACATTTTCACAATATTTTTATTTTATTTTGAAAATGATAATGCACATCAGTTTGTGAAACCAATGTTGTTATAGCTGATATTGTAATTATAATTCAATATTTTTGCCATTTCCAATCCTAAATCTAATTAATTTTTGTTCAGTTCTGTTTAGATTTTCACCTACCCATAGAAATATTTTTTGTACTGTTTTCTACATTTTATAATAATTATACAGACATAAAAACTATAAAATAATCTATGCACTGACCAGAAAAGTATTAGACTTGTGGGTTGGGACAAGGTTGCCAGTTCAAATCCTTGGGTCAGCAAAGTGACCCCCAATGGGCCCTTGAGCAAGGCCCTTAACC